AGGGATGGTGACTCAACCACTTCCCTGGGCAGCCTGTTGCAGTGCTTGACAACTCTTTTGGTGAAGAAATTTTTCCTAATACCCAATCTAAACCTCCCCTGGTGCAACTTAAGGCCATTTCCTCTTGTCCTATCACTTGTTACTTGGGAAAAGAGACCAACACCCACCTTGCTACAACCTCCTTTCAGGTAGTTGTAGAGAGTGATAAGGTCTCCCCTCAGCCTCCTTTTCTCCAGGCTAAACAACCGCAGTTCCTTCAGCCGCTCCTCATCAGACTTATGCTCTAGAAATATCATGGGGAAATATGAATTCACTTTACTAAATGCACATTTATGAACTGCACTGGTTTGTATTTTCATTCTAAATTATTTTGATTTTGTCATCTGTGAAATATTCTACATGTAAGGTAGTATGAGCATGTAGATTATCTGATTCGATTGCTGACTACAGAAAATAATCAAAGCATTTTGAAGTCAAATTGTAAGTGAAATCACCAATATATGTATCCTCCATTGGTTTGAAAGCTCATTGCTGTGTGTATTTCTCCTTTCCTTCAAAAAGAACTGTGAACTGGTTGGACTGGCATTTCAGCATTTTCCTCAAGTCCAGCTGACAGTGCCCTCAGGATGCTGTTAGGTGATAGCAACTTCAGTTATAGAACACCATGTCTTTACTTCTGAGGTCTAAAGTATCTAAAGTAGCTCTGTGTTACTTGTTGGACTCAGTGAAGTCTGCATACATTCAAATATGAGAGGACAAAGAAAACTATGGAAGAGTAGGAGTCTGCAGAATCAACTTGCATAGTTTACATACAACTGAACTTCATAAATTGTAGGGATGAGACAAAATGCAGTATCTGGTCTTTCCATCATCTTTTTCTTTTTCCTGAAGAAACAGCGAGCTGCAGATACTGTGCAAGATGTGATGGCCTTGCTACATAATTTTGTGTATAATTTTCTCCACATAATTCTGGGGAAAAAAAGGGGTGGGGGGCAAGAACAGCTGGGCAGTTATCTGGAGTTAGTTTTAATTGAGACAGCTTTGTTGATTTGAAAGAAAGAAAAAAGGTATTTTCAGGAAAACATTGAAGAAATAATGAAAGCTTTCTTTCACTGGCAATAGGCAGTTTCATCTTTACTGGGGTGATGTAAAAATGCCACAAAACAGAGGCAGAAGTAGATCGTGTTACGTTCTCTTAATCAGAAGCTGCTTACCTTCCATGAGTCCTCAGTATAACCCAGTCTTGGTGGTATTAAAATTCCTATTTGTACAAGTTAGAAACGTGTTTCAGGGCTAACAGGTTTTCTGTTTATTGCTTGCATGGCAAGAAAATGTCATTAGTGATCACTTTGTATGATTTTTCGGTTTCTTGTGGTTGAAAAGCATGTTTTCCACCAAAAATGGTTGAAATTAATTTTTATTTTGACTGTCCTAATTGTGAACCTCCAAAGCTCATGGTGTTGTGCTTTCTTTTTCCTACTACTTTATTCTTTTAGCGTTACACGCTGCTGCCCTTTCTGGCCATGTCAGCACAGTGAAATTGCTGTTGGAACATAATGCACAGGTAGATGCTTTGGATGTTATGAAACATACCCCGCTTTTCCGAGCCTGTGAGATGGGACACAAAGAAGTGATACAAACACTCATTAAAGGTCAGCTGTTACAAATTTACAAACCTGTTCAGAGTTCTGGTGCTGCTTTCTGCGGGAGTGGGAAATAAAACAGCATAGCTGAGCAAGAGGTGGGGTAGAAAATTACTTCCCTAAAGCAGGTTTTGTCTGTAAGTACACTTTGTGGAACAGTGCTAGTAAATGTAGAGGATTATCAGAGTGTTGTGCAAAATGGCTAGAAGAGTTAAATATAACACTTTCAAAATTGGGATAGTTCTTTTGACAGCTCTTTTCTGCTCAAGCCTTTTCAGGTATGTTCTAGTCTCTCAAACCACCTCTTCCCCAGCAAGTCATTGTTTTTCTTTCTTTTTTTTCCTCCAGTAAATAAGACCAAGTTAAGCTTTCTTCTCTTTTGTGAGAAAGCATTTTTTAGGCTTCTTTGAAGACTTTTTGACTATTTAAATATTTATTATTTAATGAAGGTAGCTATCAAAACTCCTAAATCATTAATATTTTCCTCTGGTGGTTTTTTATAAGCAGTATTTTATTTGTAGACAGCAATAAGATTTAACAACATACACAGTTTTAGACAATTGTAAAAACTGCTGAAGCGGAAGAAGTATGGTGAAAGAACAGTGATATCTTAGATGCAAAATTCTGTCATTTTAGCTTCACAGAAAAGTTCTGAGTAGCTGGAAGCAGTCTCTCTCCTACTTGAGATATTATCCCATTTATGGACAGTTGAAGTATCAAGGCTAACAAGTTGCAAGTTTTCCATCAACCAACCTTTCTTACTGAAAAGCGTGCTTCCCTCTGTGATCTGCTGGGCATATTTTAACCTCCTGTTAAGCTCTTCCTCCCACCCCCTATGCCATTTAGCTTTTGTAGATGCAAGAAGCTTGGTTATTAGGATCTGAGTTATGTTTAATTAAATGTTTTATGATATAGACAGTGATTGTTGCTGGTTGGTTCAAGTTTTTATATTTGTGGAGTTTTAGTTTTGTATGGAGTTTTACATCTTACAAGAGCACATAGAGAAATTAATTATCTGCATAAGAGTCTTAGCATGCTTGAATTAAAAAAAAACAAAGCTTTTTTCAAAACTAATTCTTACACTGAATATTTTATCTTGTTTGCTTTAGAGATTTAAAAAGATACTGAAGTCTAATTTTCAAAAGTGATTTTGTTGTTAAGAAATAAGTTTCACTGAAAATTAATAGGCCTGAAACAAATAAAGGCTAGGTTTTTCAAGGGTATTTGACAAATCTGGAGATTGTAAAACATCTGAGAGGATACTCAGAAGCTTGTAAAAAAGTTAGATGCCCGACCCTCACTTAAACTATTTAATTCCCAATTAATTTTGATTTAGGTTTTAGGATTTGAGTAACAAAGTTGAAGTTACTTTCAGAAATATTTCTCTGAATTGTCAGTTTGCCAAGTAAGTTCTAGTTGAACATGAACCTATTCTTTTTTTTTTTTTTTTCATTCAAAAGTATTTTCTTTTTATGTTCAAAAATGTATTTGTTGTTACAGGAGGAGCAAGAGTAGATTTGGTTGACCAAGATGGCCATTCGCCCCTTCACTGGGCAGCCCTGGGAGGAAATGCTGACGTGTGCCAAATCTTGATAGAAAATAAAATCAACCCTAATGTGCAGGATTATGCAGGTAGAACACCTCTGCAGTGTGCTGCTTATGGAGGTTACATTAACTGCATGGTAGTGTTACTGGAAAACAATGCAGATCCAAATATTCAGGATAAAGAGGTATGTTGTTCTTCACTGGGCTATTTAATTAACTTCAGAATAACCATAAATCAAAACATTTTCCTTTTCTTCAAGGTCATTCTCTTTTCTGGGACACAGAACCATCTTTGCTGCTGTTTATCACGAAATGCATCCTGACATAATTTTCCCTATGGTTTCACTTCTAAAATCTTGAATGAAAAGTAATATTTTAATATGCAGCATGAATTGAAGATTCATTTTTTTTCCATATCACTTTTGACTTTTCCTTGTCAAAGTGTGATGTTATGAGGAGTCGTATTAATCATCTGATTTCTTAACTTCTATCATTCCTTATTAACAGCGGACATGGGAATGTGATTTTATAGCCTGTAATGTGTTTCTTAGCATAGAGATAGAGCAAGTAAGATATTGCAAGTGAGTTTGCACAAGAACTGCTTCAATTACTTATCCACATAAGTATCCACATATATATCACTCTTCCAGGTGAAAAAAAAAACCCAAACACTGATCAGTTTTTATGTTCTTTTGTGCCATTATTCAAGCAGTAAGTGAAATTAGGAGCCAGAATAATTGTGCAACATATAACAGATTTCTTTGGTGTGTGACATAATTTCTCAGAAGTTGGTAGAACTTCATCAGTCAAAAGAATTTCATCCAATTTGTTAAACTTTTCTGTAGCTATTCATTGTAGGGTATGGATAATTCCAGGTAATGGAAAAGTGTTTTTTATTATGGATTCTACAGAGCATGCTGGGGAGATTTTCCAGCCTGCTACCAGCTCTGTATGGCATCAGCTTGAGTGCAGTTGAGCACATCAGCTCCACCTATTTCACTGCGGCATGCTCTTCAGCCCTTGGGGTTCAGGGGGTGGCTTGCCAGCACTGACCTCGGAATGTCTTAATGTTTCTCTGTGGTACCCAGCCTTCTAGGTATTTCCTACATTTGGAGTTTAGAAAAGCAAGACGCAGACAGGAGGCATGGCCTGGAAGTGAAATATTTATGTTTTGTTGATTATTAACAGAGCTTGAGGTATTTGTATTGTGGTTCTGTGATCCCAGTCCCAAGAGTGGTCATATATGAGCTGTCTGGAGAGTTGGACTTCTGCTTCATGTGAGGGAAACTAGACTTCTGTAATCAAGCTCGTTTTGAAGGCACAGCTGGAGTCTTTCTTTGTTTGCCTGGGCTGATAAGCTTTCCTCAGACTCAACCTGATCTTGAATTCTGTAGTAATTCTCTCGGTCTTGTGACAGTGTTTTGGAGCAGCCTAGAATACAGCCTGAACTACAAAGGTTAATGAGAGCTGCTCCAGATCTGGGCGGCATAGCGGCAAAGCAAGCAACTCTAGAGCTAGTCTCCTAATGCTGTTTTCCAGCTGCTTTAGGTGAAAAAGCACTAGTGTTGTAATCTTGTTTAAAAAAAAAAAAATACTTCATTTTTAAGTGCTGTATTCTTTTATTTTAACAAGGAAGTTTATTTAGAAGAATTAGTTTGTCCTTCATGTCCAGAAAAGCATTGAATTACAGTATGATTTATGACTTCTATTGTGGCATGATACAGTTTGGGGATAATATTTATTTTTGTTCTGTTCTGTTGTTTACAGGGAAGAACTGCTTTGCACTGGCTCTGCAACAATGGCTACCTTGATGCTATAAAGTTGCTGCTTGGTTTTGATGCTTTCCCGAATCATATGGAGAACAGCGAGGAGAGGTATTGCTTGTTTGAATGCATTATTTTGTAATCTAGCAAAAGTGCTACCTTCTGATTTAGATGTTAAGTGTTCATGTATTGCCAGAGAATCATGATCTTGTATCTAAAAGGAGTTCTGTAATCTTGGGCTTCAGTATAAGCAGCTTTTCTGATGTGAAAAATCTCTTCTTTAAGACATTGCAACTTCAATCATTTATACTTTTGAACCTTGAACTACAGAGATTTCTACTCATTCTAGTCTTGTTTGAAATATTAAAGACCTTTTTCATTTATATGAAGTTGACAGTGGATATGTACGGACAAAGGATGAAAAGACATTTCTGCTGCTGTTGGAGTAGACTGGAATTTTCCCTTTTCTATTTGGTAGGAATACAGTGAGAAGAAAGGAAATGGTAGAAATGTAATGTTATGTTTTAAAATAGGGATTACAAATTACCTGGTGGTTAACTGTATTCTAAAGGCCTAGTTTTAAAAAAAATCCTCCTGTAATCATAAAGAGCCAGTACATTTGCATCTCTTTTCTTTGTCTTTCATTGACATACAAATAATAGTTTTTTAAAAGTGATTTGGGTTGTGGAGTTTGAATTAGTCACCTGACCATGAAGATAATTACTATTAGCAGAAATTTATAATGCCTTTTTTAGAGTAGATGACCTCCTCACAATTATAAATAAAATTGTGATCAGTATGCCATATAAATTTGAATATTTCAGCATTTTAAATAACTTAAGGACCTCGAAACCCCATATTTTAGTGCTAAATTTGAGACTTCCATACTTATTCCAGTTTTTAATTGCTTTCTTCCCTCATCATTTCTCTTTTGTTCTCTACTCTAAACCACTCATCTCTCTTCTTTTTCTGTTTGCATTTTTTATTGAGAAACACAAATGAAAGTATAAGTAGTTCCTAATTAAGTAGTGCCAATGCTCTCTTTAGTAATTTTTGATAGAAAATTAAATAAACAGTTATAATTAAATTACTCTTAATAAGTAAGATTAAAAGCCACTATTTTGCCAGAAAGGAGGCTGCTATTTTCCTTACTTTGTGGAAATGTACTAATGATGCTCAAATGTCAGGAAAAGACGTTGGCTGTGGTTTTACTATAGTCATTCAGTTAGTACCTATTTTTGTTTCCCTTCTGTCATTAATATATGTTCTTATGTATAAACCAAGATTACTCAAAATATAACCAGCAGTATTCCAAATGTCAGCCCTTAAGCACTAGTCCATGTGCAGATCCCCAATATTTCTAGACAAATCAGTCTTTAAATATAATTCTCCTAAAAATATATATATTGTATATAAAAATCACACAATTGCCTCTTAATAAACATCTACAAAACCTTGGTTTATTGTTAAGAGATTGGAAGTTTGGAAAGTGGAAAAATCAAGTCAATTGTTGTGAGAGAGTAAAAATAACCTCATGGATATGATTCATCCATAATTGGATGAAATTGTTTTTTAATCAGTAACAATTTCACCAAATAGTAAATTTTTTCCCAATAGACCTATAGAAAGAAGCTTCCCTTCTTCACTTTCTTAGAGGGCAATATGAGATACTGGTTCAAAATTCAAACATAATAGTTAAAACTGAATAGGTTTGTGAAAAGATGGAGCTGAGATTGCATCTAGGATTTTAAGCTACCCACTTGCTTGCAGATATGTGATCAAGTGTTAGTCTGGAGGGTGGTAAGTTTGTTGTTCTTTGCAAATTTATTTCATAATCTAACTTGATGTCCTGGGTGCATTCTGTGATGCCAGGCCAGCTGCTGCTTGACAATCTTCATGCAAAATTACGTATAACAGCTGATGGCTGATGTCTTCATTGCGTGTTTTCCTGTGAAGCCAGCTTGATTTAAAAGCTATCTGCTTTAGAGATAACCAGTGGAAAAGAAAATTTATAACAGGCTTTTGAACTGACACAACAGAGTAATGGCTGGTTGTGAGGAGTCTATGTGAGCAGCCTTGAATGGGTAGTGTCCAGTTGTAGAAACCCCTATTCAGATTTGATTTGAGTGATTTTTTTTTTACCTTCAAAGGTAGCTCTAATAGAGCTAGAGAATCCACATTTAAGAATATGGGTCTTCATGACTGGGATCCATAATATAATAAAGTGTCTTGGTACATACATGCTAGTAGTGTAAAGTTTACTTTAGTATCTTTTGTACCTGTTAATTAAAATATTCAAAACTAGGTATACTTTAAAAATGTGTTTTTCTGAAAAGAGGTCCCTTCTGAAGTTCCCATTCCTGGGTTATCAAAAATCTGTATCTCTTTAAATGCTGTCAGCAACACACCTTGACATACAAATTTTCATGTTATGTCATTGTCTTTATTCCTGCAGACACTTCAGTTCAGATACTGTTAATCCTTCCATCAAATCATTGCTCTGTGGCAAGTCCAATTGTGCTTTCTGTCCATTTTTCTTTGCTTACCAGCATTGCGTCCTAGCAAGTTACCATCAAGAAGAGCCCTAATTTTCACAACCGCATGCATTGACACATGCTATTTGATAGTCTTGTATTATGTGGTCTTGATTATGGTTTGTAACTGAGAATTCTTAGTCACTAAATGTCTTTGCCTAATGTTTCAGTGTTGGTGAGGGAGGCATGTAAATTTTGCTCCTGTGTTGACAATGGGAAAATTGGGAATTATTTTTAAAAGGGCTTAGTCATCTTTGACACCATTAAAAACCAAAGCCATTTAATATTTTTAGCACCTGTGTCCATTTGAAAACAGACTCAAGTCTTCCTAGTGCTTTAAAAAAAATATTATCCCTTGATGCAGGTGTAATCCTGCTGTTAGGTCAGTCATACTGTGCTCAGTCATTGTTATAGAAGTTAAACCAGATTTGACAGTAAATCTCTAGAACTTAAATCTGTATGGAAATAACACGAAAAATGTTTTAACTTGCTTTTTATTTAGATTATATTTCTATATGAGAACCTCAATAACACCTTTTTAAGATCACTTGCCTAAAGCAGTTAATTCTGTGGATAGGGCTTTGGAGGATTTTGATCTAACACTTCATATAGTCTCCCCCCCCCCCTATATTAGGAGGCTAAAATAAGCCTTAAACATAGTCACAGTGTGTAGAATGAGTAAGATGGGAAAATAATATTAAAAAATTAGTGAAACAGCCTACTGAAAACAGTGTTTAATCTGTCTTTATACTAGAAGTTGCCTTATTATGAAAGGAGGATGAAATAAATGCACATTATGGTTAGAATTCTAGTTCAATTATAATTGTTGTGGGTTTGTTTTGTTTTGTTTGGTTTTTTTTTAGATATACTCCACTTGATTATGCTTTGCTTGGTGAACACCATGAAGTGATTCAGTTCATGTTAGAACATGGGGCTCTGTCTATAGCCGCCATACAGGACATTGCTGCTTTCAAAATTCAGGCTGTCTACAAAGGATACAAAGTTAGAAAGGCTTTTCAAGAGAGGAAGAATCTTTTAATGAAACATGAACAACTGAGAAAAGATGCTGCTGCCAAGTAAGTCTGAGACTTGAAATCTACTCCAGCGAATAGACATCTGTCGTAAGTTTGTATATATCAGTGTGTGATTTTATCTGTTACTCACCATCATTTATTGTTCCTCTTAATGAAATTCATGAAACTGTAGGAAGCATATAATGGATTTTTTTCCATACACCTATAGATGGAAAATATGTTCCAGACAATCCCAAATTAAATAAGAAGCTTTATAAAATATACAAGAACAAGGCAAAGTACCAAAAGCAGAGAAACTAGCATGTTAGCATCCGTGAATCTTTACCTGGTATTCTGCATGATGATAAAAAGGCTTGGAAAACATTTATCACTCTAAGGTAATGGAAATAATTATTGACCTATCAAGTCTTGTTTATCAGTTTTGAAAAGAAATTAAGAATTAAATGAAGAAAAAAACCAAGAAAAGCCTGCTTTAATAAGGCTGAATTTACTGTTTCACAGGGGAGGTGGTAACGCCTGGATTTTGTTTGCAATTTCTGTCTTGGCAGTATCATTCTCTGCACTTACATTTTCTGCTCTTGAATTAGAGAGTTACCACAAAATCATTATATTAGATTACAGATAACTAACATACGCAATTCAAATAGTTACTTGTAAGATGTTGTGGTTTAACTTCAGTCAGCAACCAAGCACCACACAGCTGCTCACTCTCTCCCTCTGGTGGGGTGGGAGAGAGAATCTGAAGAGTAAAAGTAAGAAAACTCGTGGGCTGAGATAAGAACAGTTTAATAATTAAAGTAAAATAATAGTAGTAGTAGTAGTAGTAATAATAATAATAATAA